AACCCTAAAACCCTAAACCCTAAACCCAAAACCCTAAATCCTAAACCCTAAACCCTAAACCCTAAACCCTAAACCCTAAACCCTAACCCTAAACCCTAAACCCTAAACCCTAACCCTAAACCCTAAACCCGAGGACTTACGAGGTGACGGCCAAAGACCGGCGTGAGGAACGGGTGAGCCGCGTGGGGGGGCCTGGGGAGTTGAACCTCCTCGTGCCCTTATGATAGGTTTAGGGTTTAGGGTTTAGGGTTTAGGGTTTAGGGTTTAGGGTTTAGGGTTTAGGGTTTAGGGGTTTCGGGTTTAGGGTTTAGGGGTTTAGGGGTTTAGGGGTTTAGGGGTTTCGGTTTAGGGTTTAGGGTTTGGGGTTCAGGGTTCAGGTTTCAGGGTTTAGGGTTTAGGGTTTAGGGTTTAGGGGTCTTGGACTTCACCCAAATAAGTACAATAAGTAGCCATCATTCCTTTCTAGTCCCAATATAAAAAGAATAGCTACGGCGATACCCAGTCAATCTAGCAAGCCCGTGTTTTTGTGTCTTTGCGCATGTCTCTTGCACGTGTTTATGTCTGGGCGTGTGTCCGCCCCTGTGTGTAGTTGTGTTCTATCATTGTTCCGTGGTTTCTAGTTGTGTAGGTTTGGGGGTTTAGGGGTTTGTTCAGGGCCGGGGTTTGTTTGGGGTCGGGGGGGGTTAGGGGTTGGTGTTCAGGATTTGCAGGGCATAGCCCTAAACCCTAAACCCAAAAACCCAAAACCCAAATCCCAAAACCCAAAACCCAAAACCCTAAACCCTAAACCCTAAACCCTAAACCCTAAACCCTAAACCCTAAACCCTAAACCCTACACGGAGCCCACGACCCACATGAAGCAGCGGTACCTCATGTTGTGTCAACTCCGAGACCCCAAGCCTTTATAGACCCTGAATCCCAAAAGCTAGGGTTTAGGGTTTAGGGTTTAGGGTTTAGGGTTCAGGGTTTAGGGTTTAGGGTTTAGGGTTTAGGATCGTCTAGGGTTTTAGGGTTTAGGGTTTAGGGTTCAGGGTACAGGGTTCAAGGTCTGTAGAGTTTAGGAATCTCATTGACCCCGAGCCGGTAAAACCGCGCCGCCGACGTGCCCAGGCGCGCATTGTGAAGGTGGGCCGCGCGTCGCCCCAGCCGAAGACGTTGGTGGAGGCTCGAAGACCATGACAACTGTTTAGGGTTTAGGGTTTAGGGTGAAGGGCTCAAGGTGTACCTAGCCCCGACACGCCTGCAAGTGGATACGGTAGGCGGCAAGGACGTAGGGTGGGAAAACTGGAGGCTTGAGGCAAGGGCTTCAGTGGAGTGGTTCCCCCAAAGTAGCTGTCTTTCACAGGGATCATACTCTAAACCCTAAACCCTAAACCCTGAAGGGTTCAGGGTTCAGGGCTTAGGCTTGCGACACCCTGTCGACCAGGGCAGCATTGTCCGCATAGAGGAGGACATGGCACGAGCGAAGGACCCGACGGGAGGAAAGACGCCTAAGGCCCACGTAGGGCTCAAGGTGTAGGCCTAAACCCCCAAACCCCCAAACCCTAAAACCCTAAACCCTAAAGACTAAAGCCTAAAGCCTAAAACCCTAAAACCCTAAACCCTAAACCCTGAACCCTAAACGTTTAGGGTGTTAGGGCTTTAGGGTTTTTGGGTTTAGGGTTTTAGGGTTTTAGGCTTCTAGGCTTTTAGGCTTTTGGTTTTGGGGTTGAAGGTTTTAGGGTTTTAGGGTTTAGGGGGTTTTAGGGTTTAGGGGTTGCAGGGTTTGAGGGTTTTAGGATTTTAGGGTTTGAGGGTTTGAGGGTTTTAGGGTTTTTAGGGTTTTAGGGTTTTAGGGTTTTAGGGTTTTAGGGTTTTAGGGTTTTAGGGTTTCTGGATTTAGGGTTTGAGGGTTTGAGGGTTTTAGGGTTTTTAGGGTTTTAGAGTTTTAGGGTTTTAGGGTTTCAGGGTTTCAGACTTCATGGTTTTGGGTATTTTGGGCAATTTTTGGTATTGGGGTGTTCTAAGGGTAGTTTCATATGGTCCCTTACTTTCTTTCCAGGGTTCTGCACGGGGTTGTACAGGGCATACAAGGGGTATATGAGGGGGTCCCTAAACCCTAAACCCTACAGTAAACCCTACAGTAAACCCTACAGTAAACCCTACAGTAAACCATACACCCTAAACCCTAAACCCTAAACCCTAAACCCTAAACCCTAAACCCTAAACCCTAAACCCTAAACCCTAAACCCTAAACCCTAAACCCTAAACCCTAAACCCTAAACCCTAAACCCTAAACCCTACTAAGGGACCATGTGCTTGCCCTGCGAGGTTACAAGTTGTGACGCCCCGCTTGGATGGCCAACCAGAAGATTCGAGGACCGCAGCCATTGCGGCTCGAGGCTACGCGGCTCCTGCTTGAAGCTCTTAAGGGTTTAGGGTTTAGGGTTCAGGGTTTAGGGTTCAGGGTTTAGGGTTTAGGGTTTAGGGTTTAGGGTTTAGGGTAGTCTCCTTGGCCGCCATGCTCTCCTTGCAGATCATCCTCGGGATTCATCTTGGCTTCTACACGCTCGTGATGACGTCCTTCCTGCTCGCGTTGCGCTTTCGGGACGCGGGGTATCTCACCTTCCACGGCAAGCTGGGTGACGACGCAGTTCCCAAGCTGCTGTTTCCGGATCTCAACTTGAGCAGCAAGACGCAGCGCAGCCTGCTCTTCGTGATGATTGTGTGTATGCTTGCAAACTGGATTGGCAGCCTTCAGGCGTTCAACTCCGCGGACGGCGGCTATCGCGCCGCAATGCGGTCTCAGTGCATGTTGGTGCACGGCTTGCAGCCGCTTCTAATGCTTGGGAACGGCCACTTGACACTGCGGGAAGCCGGCGCAGGACCATGGACGGCTCTGCATGGCACCTTCGCAGTTTTGTTTCTGACGGCGCAGGAGAAGTGAGGAGGCACCAGCGACGTGACGATCGAAGGTGCGACTGTGAGGCACTGTGAGGCTCACTCGAGGTTGAATCAGCAAGGTTTTTGGCGCTTCAGCGACCTCTCAGCGGAAGCCAAGTCGCCACTTCATGTTGTGTGCTCAAAGTGTGCCCTCCATGCCATCGCCCGCCTTTGCCAGGAAGTCCAGGCAAAAAGACAAAGGCACCCAGTCGTTTCTGGCACTGTCACTTCGTCGATTGTCATGCCGTGTTCCTTGCCAGGAAGTTGTCCATTGGGTTCGTGCGAAAATAGTCTTGGTTGGAATCCACATGCTCGTTGCCTTGTTGTATATGGGAGGTTTCCGAGAATAGGGGTCATTGCCCCTGTTGGGGGTCCCTTAAAGGGGGTTCTGTTCTGTAGTGCCCACACTTCCTTGAATGGATGCATTGAGTGAGTTGTATTGACTGTCACCCGTGAGTGAGGAGCACGAGAAGCGTCGTCAGATAGGACACATGATCTGGTCAGGCTGTTCTGTTCAACAGAACAGGGAGTTGCTTTACCTACCTCGGTGCGTCATGTCCTTGTGCCGAGAGAGTCGCGATGGTATGTGCAGATGTGCGCAGGCAACACTGAGGGGAAGCCACCACTACTGAATTGTAAGAATAGACTACTAGTTGCTTAAGAACCCCCCAAAAGTATAAGGACAATAATCCCTATATTACCCTTATAAGGAAGAATATTTTGATGTTTTGGGGGGGCTCTTACCATTGGTAGTAGAAGGGAAGCATAAATTGCTCGTCAGGATTACTCAGCATTCGTATCATTCGTCAGCCTTGGGCAGCACGATCGGTTGCCCCCCATGAAAATGCCCTAACCCCTACCCCCTAACCCCTAACCCCTACACCCTAACCCCTAACCCCTAAACCCTAACCCCTAACCCCTAAACCCTAAACCCTAACCCCTAAACCCTAAACCCTAAACCCTAAACCCTAAACCCTAAACCCTAAACCCTAAACCCTAAACCCTAAACCCTAAACCCTAAACCCTAAACCTTACTACACCCCCTCCTTAGCCCAAATCCCAAGTGCTGCTTGCACAGGAGCTGCAGGGAGCCCGCTGGGTGCGACCCCTTCACCCGGGGTTTAGGGTTTAGGGTTTAGGGTTTAGGGTTTAGGGTTTAGGGGCTTCGAGGCCGCGTAGGGTTTGGGGTGAGGGTTTCGTGTTTGCGGCATTGTCTCTAGGTGTTGTTTTTGATTTCGGGGTTGCTTGGGGTCGGGTCTCATGGTTTACGTAGTGGTAGAGTAGGTAGCCTGTAACCTTTTGGGGTATGACAATCGCTAGATAGTCCCAAAGGTTAAGCTATAGTTCGTTCCCGCAGGATACTGGACAACTACGTAAGTTTCTTGTGTTCGTTTGGGGTTTAGGCTTGGGGCTTCGTTACAGGTGATTGCGGGGTCATTTCTGGTTTCAGGTTCTGAGCTTTGGGAGTTATGGGGTACTCCTTCACCATCCGAATGAAGTAGGAGCAGTTCGGAGAGGTTTGGGTCTCAGGGCTTTCATCATGGGCTTTCGGATGCCATGTCGGGCGAGCTGAAATGGCAGGAATGTGGGCCTAAACCCTAAACTCTAAACCCTGAACCCTAAACCCTGAGCCCTAAACCCTAAACTTCATCATGCCCGCCCCCGAGCGTTTGCACAGGCCCAAAGCGACCACAAGAGCCGGCTTAGCCGGCGCAGCCGGAGCACCCGAAGCCCTGAACTCTGAAGAACAAACCTGCAAGCTGCCATTCAATATAGGGTTCGGAAACTAAGAGTATTCCCTTGTGGCCCCTATGTAGTTCTACCTCAGAGAGATGGCATTGAATCGGTAGAGAGCGGCAGTAGCCTGGATGGAGATCTCTAGCGTCGCCAGGGTAATGGAAGCAATTGAGTTCAACCCTAGGAGAATAGCCTCACAAGAATCGCAGTCACCCCATGTTTTTGAAAAATCGCAAGAGGACCTGCCTGCGCGTTTTTTTAGTCCGCGTCTCGTGCGCATCGGCCCTGGCCAACGCAGCCATGGGCAACTTTCAGACGAACGTGCCGGGGCCCAGCAGTCCGAAAACGCATGAACCCTACAGGGTGTACTGCAGTCGAGGTCGGAAAAATGGCTAGTGGTAGTCCCTTCGGGTCCCTTTGCAAGTATACCTGAAGAGCCCCCTATGCTACTTCTGAAGCCCCGAAAGCACCTCGGGGACGAAATGAACCCTAAAAGGGTTTCATATTTGCTTCATGGGAAGGAAGTCTCGTAGGTTTGGGGTATATGACCCCGTTTTGGGGGTCAATTTGGTCCCAAGTAGGGCTAAGGGCCCCCTGATTTGGAGGGCTGGTTTTGAGGCAAAAGATCACTGCAAAGCCTGTCCTCTTTGTTTTGGGGGGGGAGGTGAGCCTTGATTTCAGTGAGAGGGCCTCTCAAGTCCTCGCCAACTGCTGGCCTGGCCCCCTTGAACGCCCAGACGCCCTAAACCCCTTTAGGGTTTAGGGTTTAGGGTTTAGGGTTTAGGGTTGAGGGTTGAGGGTTGAGGGTTGAGGGTTGAGGGTTGAGGGTTTACCCAAAAGCCCGCTAAAACCCCGAAATCTCCGAAGTCCCCAAACCCCTACAGCTCATTCCACGGTCCCCTCAACCCGACTGCCCACGGTTGGGTCTGGGTTTTCTCGAGGCCCTCAGGGTCCCCTAAGGGTCGGGGGTCGAGAGAGAGAGAGAGAGAGAGAGAGAGAGTGAGAGTGAGAGAGAGGGAGAGAGAGAGAGAGAGAGAGAAAGAGAGAAAGAAAGAAATCAAGAGAGAAGAAAGAAAGAGAAGAAAAGAGAAAGAGGGAAAGAGAGAAAGGAGAAAGAGAGAGTTAGAGAAAGAGAGACAGAGAGGAAGAGAGAAAGAGAGAAAGAGAGAAAGAGAGAAAGAGAGAAAGAGAGAAAGAGAGAAAGAGAGAAAGAGCGAAAGCGAGAAAGAGAGAAAGAGAGAAAGAGAGAAAGAGACAAAGAGAGAGAGAAAGAGAGAAAGATAGAAAGAGAGAAAGAGAGAAAGAGAGAAAGAGAGAAC